GGGAATGAGGGTGTTGGGGGTATGGTGGTGTTAGTGGTGATATTGGATGGTATAGACTCTTTTTCTCAAGGGGTGGGAAGACAGTAGGGATGGTGACAAACAGACAAAGACTGTGGGTGGGGGATAGCTCGTATAGTCCCAACATGGAGTTATCTCCAGGCTACATCCATACAGAAGCGATGTCGGGCCTGGATGTCACATGGACAGGCACACAGATGAAAAGACTGATATTCCCATAAAGCTGCATGCTATAGCCATTGGCCCTGAAGCACAGTGTGTTGGCTAGTTGTGTGTCTTTGCCTGTGTGTGTGTGTGTCCAAGGTGATGAATGCATGGAAACAGTGACCGAAACGGCTACAAGACTAACTTCACATCTCATGTCTGTCTCTTTCTCTTTCTACCTCCCTTTGCAATTTCACCCTAATAGTTCCAGAAATTGACCTCTCATATATCCCAAAGGCATGTTATTACATTTCCTGAAGTCGTATTTTATACCCCCACCCACCCCAGCTCTTACTCCCCATCTCACCCAAGCCACCAACAGCAACACACCAATTAATGGGGTTGTTCACCCAGCATTATAACTTAATAAACTTCGGGGGTAATAACTTTCCCGCTCTGCCTGTCAGCAGCACTACAAAGACTGAAGTGTAATTTTCTAGTTTATTCTGGATGGCCGCCCAGCACCAGTAACACAATGGGAATCTGTATCTGGATACCATATTGTGAAAGGCACAATTTCACTGATGTCATTCACACAACAGCCATTTTGAATACCTGGGGAGCGAAAATCAGCCTAGAAATGTCCTGCTGGTGCCTGCTAGCATACATTATATGGACTCTTAGGATTTTTCTAATTGAAGGTGCATCAGAGAGAACTGAATTCAAAGATTCAAGGTTAACATTGTACTACCGACCTTTACAATGCCCTCAAAAATTTGGAAATGGAAAGAATTACAGTTTTTGTGCTTTGTTCCTGTTAGGAACACTTCCGCCTCTGGCAATACGTGAGAAGCATCGACTTATTCCTTTTTGGGACTGCTGAAATAGCCAACTAACTGTTCAGGATTCCTTCTTATTACCAGAAATAGCAATGACTTACGAGGATTCTGCTTTGCTGTAACATTTAGCTCACTAAGCGCTCATAAAATCAAAGCTCTCTGAGGAGTTTGGCCACTGGTGAATGCTACATTATCAGGCCACTTACAGCATGTGAATATATCAAATGATAGGACTTTCGGACAACATCAAACTCAGTGCTCCAACATAGAACCAAGGCTACAGTGATGCAGCCCACATTTATGTTATGCAAAAAGCTATTCGTCGCTTTGTGCTTTTGTACAGTCATTCTTTAAATTCATGGATATTAGTTATGTGGCTGAAGCACTTTGCACTTAACTGTGTGAAAAGGGACATTTGTAGACTACCACCCACCCATATTAGGAGTCGATGATCACACATGTTGACGTTGTATGTCAAAGTGTACAAATAATTATCAGGCCAAAAAATGAGGTTGTGCCGAAGAGAATTATACCAAACACTGGCATATTTTCATGTGGTATATAAAGGTAAAATCAAAACTATTAAAAAAAACTGCCAAAAATATTTCAGGACTCCTAAGTGATTTATCAAAATGTGCACACAATCAAGACGTTTTACTAGCTGTGACTATAGAAAACAAAACCAAAGCTTAACTGAAAACCAGTTCATCCAAATTTTGACTGATGTATAAGGTGCGAACTAGACATGCTGGTAGGTGGATTGACTTGCACTTAGCAGGAGCCGGGCTGTTTCCTCCTGTTTTTGGTCTTCATGCTATAAGCTAACCGGCTGCTGGCCATAGCATTATAGTTAGGCTACCTTACAGGAATGAGAGTGGTATCAGTCTGATCCTCGAACTCTGAAAGACGGTGGAAAAGCATATCAAAAATGACCTTAATCCAAAATTGTTACAAATTTTAATCGGACAGTTGTGGGGGAGAAAGAATAAGTCTAAATACACACATTGTTACACATCTATATGTATGCAAATAAAAAAAATAGCTGCCAGTAATATTTAAACAGAGAACTTCTCACAACAAAGGTTCCTCCATTACATCAGGGTGGGTGACATATTTTCCTCAGGAGACAGTTTCAGAGTGTTTGGCCATAGTAGCAGCAGGTGAGTTACACTGAACAACTTGTGTTGATGTTCTGATAGTTGTGAAATAGGCCTTTGTGTCAATTTTCACCCTTATATTGTAGTGTTCAAAATGGCTGCCATGTGCACAATAGAAACAACCTATACACTACACCG